AAAACGGTCGGAAACCCGAGACATTCCGAGACATTCCGAGACGTTCCGGGGTCCTGGATTTTAGGCGTTTTGACTCGAGTTTCCGCTCGAAATTCGAAACAGATCGAGACATTCCGAGACATTCCGGGGACCTGGATTTTCGGCGTTTTGATTCGAGTTTCCGCTCGACAGTTCGAAGCGGATTGAGGTCCACTCTGAGACGCCCCGGGTCCTCGTATTTTAGAAAAAACACCGCGCGTTTTTCTCCACGATCTGGGCGGCACCACCGCCTGCTGCAGGGTCGTCTGCGGCCCAGCCGCATCGGACGTCTCCTCTGTTGCCGGCGCAGCAAACGTTTGAGCTGGCGAGCCTGCCAGCCTTGTGTGGCTGCGCGGCGGCAGTTTCGCGGCTGCGGTCGTGCCGCTCCCGCGCCGCGCCGGACTGGGAAGCCGCCCTCGAGGAGCTGCATGGCGGAAGCGCAGGCTGTGCACCAGCAGGCCTTCCACGCAGCATACCCCGCCAGCGCGCGACCAAAGCACCACTATATAGGCGACACCACCCAGAGCAACTCCGGAACCTTGGCCACTACGTCGACATGTTCCCGGTGGAGGCCTGCCATCAGCGGTATAAGGGGTCGACTGCCGACCACTACGCACATCTGGTGAACCGCGCGGGGGGCGCGCTGTCCACAGGCGCGCTGTGGCGATACCTACAGGATGCTCTGCTGGCGGCAGAGGGGCCGCCCGTCGATCCTGACAACACGTCCTGGCGGCTGGAGCCGCCGCTACTGCCGGAGGGGTCGGAACAGCACACGGATATCCTCGCGTGCTGCGGCGTGACTCGCGGCGCGTCCTCACTCCTCGCGGCTGGGCCGCGGATATTGCAAGCGGGTGACCACCTGCGCGTCGGTGACGCGGTATATGTGCTGGAGGGTTTCTGCCACGACTTCAACACCGCCAAGATTTGGGCGGTTGCGGCGCGCGTGCCGCGGGTCTCTGAGGCGACTGGACGCATTGCCGCTGCGGTCCGCTGGCGGCCATGAGGAGATTGGAGACGCGGCCGGGCCGCGCGCCTCCCGTGTGTTCGTGGCGGCGTCGCGAGGGTGAACACAGCGTGCGTGCTGCTTGGGTAACCGCAGCCGCCGCGGCGCAGAGCGCGGCAGACCACAAAGTCCGCGGCAGGGTACCGCGCGACGGAGGAGTCCCACGCGCGAAAAACAATCCGCGAGCGCGCGGTCGGTGTATACAATGATATATATATATATATATACGCATATATCAAAGGCTATATCAAAAGAATGGGGGGGGAACTTCCTGTCCCTCAGCCGATCGAAAAATATTCAAAAATATATATATATATATACTTGTGCAGAAAATTATAGCCTAAAGTATCAAGAAACAACGAAAAGTGCATACAGTCCACGCTGAAAACATACACAGATTTGCTCGTTTTGTACATAAACATACATTTTCCCAAAAGTCTGATTTTGGAAAGTGTTTTAGCTATCTGGAAGTTATCTCGAAATTGTTTTCATTGTTTTTTTAAAATAACTTCAAAATAATCTATACAACTTCCAGTTAACTTCAATAGAGCCCGGGTCTCACCTTGTACGTGGATATGTGGAAGGCCGTGCCTGGCTCTTAGGGCGGACCAAAGACCATGGAAAGGCTGTGTGTCTGCCAAACTCTTGAAGCCTGATGTGGGCAACAAAGGAGATGCTAGCCAATGCATGGTTGCCTTACGTCTCTGTGTCGGCTTCTCTCTCGAGGTCCTGCACGGGACACGCCGGGACTTGAAGCCTCAAATTGAGAGCCTGCATGCCTTATATCCGATTATGTCTTTCCCTCCATGAACTCAAAGGTAATCCTCGAGCTACCACAAGGCTCCTGGCCTGCCAAACAAAGCGCCAAGAGTGCTTTCTCGCGGCCTACGGCGCAGCGGCCGTGCGCCCGAAGTTCCACTTGGCCATCCACATCAGTGATCAATGCAAAATGCGGGGTAAAATCCTGGATTGCTTCGCGTGTGAGAGAAAACACCGAGCCTACAAAAGCTGCGCGCAATCTGTGTCGTCTACGTGACTTTACACAGACAGTGCTGCTAAAGCTAAATGAACTCGAATCAAAGCCTCAACGTGAATCGGCATTGGGGTGGCGCCCGGTGCAACGAGGGCCGTTTATACTTAGCGAACTTATAAGTAGATATCAGACTTACAAGAAGTTAGATGGAAGTTATGAAAACATATCTTACTTAGTAAAATCTGAGCAACCGTAAGTTTTTGTAAGTGTTTGTAACTTCAAATAACTTCAGGCAAGTTTTCTCTTTAATTGAGTCGTCAGCAGAGAAGGAGAATGCTGTTGTCCTGCCGTTTGTGCCAGTGGCTAGGCTTTTGCCAAGCGCTGGAAAAATCCGCATCAGCAACCAGTTTCGTGTCGCCCTTTGGGCGCCACAAGGTCACGTTGTTGCAAGCCCAGCTCTCAACCTTGGCGGTGGGACAGAGAAACCATTCAACCGAAATCACTTCAAACACAGGTTTTGTTGCTGCGGCCCCCAGAGCCGCAGCGACCGTCAAAGCTACTTAAGTTATTTAAGACGAAAAATGATGGTCTATATACATGGTTTTGTTTAGACGCGTGCGAAGATGATCAACGAATGTTGTTCACAACAACAATCATACGGCGGCTTTGAGGGCCGCTGCGGCTTTGAGGGCCGCTGCGGCTTTGGGGGCCGCTAATAGAACAGGGGAAAATTTTCATGGTATATATGGAGGTCGATGAGGAAAAATGGTGGGAAACTTGCTAATCCACGGTCCAAAAAACTCTATCGTAGAGGTCGATGTGCACCCAAGCGCGATCGCGAAATCTCAAACAAGCTCGTACCAAACCGCTGCCACGCGGGCTTATCACAAAATCATCTTTGTAGACACGGCCTGCTTCCAGATCTAAAGCGGCACCTTCTAGCACAGACACCATCGAACCATCTACAAGCTTCTGACTTTCAGATACTGGAGGTGTGAGGTCACCAGGCAAGCACGGCTTGTCGAAAAGGCGGCAGTGGCTGTTCAAAAGACGCGTCAAGACGCCTTCTGAAAACAGGAATGGATCATGTAGCATCCCATCCAGCCTGTTTTGAAGTTGATACTTATACGTCCTGTGTTTTGCCTCTTGTGGGAAGCAGTCCACACAAAGATGAGTACGCCAGATCATGTCACACAGGTGCAATTGGTAATGGTGCTTTGGCTTGCAGTTTTCATAGGCCAAAAGGTAAAGCTCCAAGTAGGTTTCGGTTTGCTTCAAAAGTTGTTGGCATTTGACTTTCGAGATCCCACATTGAAAGCTGGCCAAAATCTCCAGAAGCTTAACCAGGGCATAAAAGGATTGAAGCTCAGCCTGAACAGGCTCAGTGTCGTCGATTGACTCCATGATGTGATAAAGCATCAAAGGAATGAGCATTCTCAAATCACTGGCTGAGCCACGGTAAGCGTCACCAGAGAACTTTTGTGCATCAGCCAAATTCTTTCGCCAGGACTGCCCTTTTCGCGTACTACTACACCAAGGGGTGCCCTGAATTTTTCCGGCTAGATCTTCACAAGTAAAATTGCACTTGGTCGCAAGTACTGACATCAAGTTGACAACCTCCCAAGCTGCCACACCTGATGCCCAGAAAATATGCATTGGATCAAAAAGCACGGCACTTGGTTTCAAAATTTCCCTGGCCTCAGCGTGAGCGAACAAAGCATTTGGATTCCAATTGAAGCCAGCAAGCTTCTCGAATTTTTCTTTGTCCTTTTTTTTCATTGTGGGCGTGTCTCGGGCCATCATATCCCAAAGCTCAAAAACTTCCTGGTCACTCCAGAGATCAAACTTGGACCATTTGGTTTCCGAAATTTCTGTAAGATAGTTCTCACCATCAACAAGATTGGAATCTCTTTTGCACACGTTTTTGCACGCTATACACGCTTTGATCGAAGCGCTGCCTCTCCAATTGTACGTTGCCCTGATGGCATCAAAGTCTGCAATGAAATTTGCTTTCATGATGTCAATGCGAAGAAGCCTTTGATTCTCATCCAGTTCCAAGGGAATGCCATGTTGCATATCAAAAGATCGCACCAACAAAACCACTTCTCGCATCATTCTGGAAAAACCACCGCTCACTGTCTCCAAGCTTTTGTGTTGCGCCACCAGCAATGGGATCCAGCTTTCCTCTTTGTGCCTCTGCTGCAACTCCACCATAGTAAAGTATCCAATGGCAATCTTCTTGGAAGAATGCGGTGCTAGCGGGTTTCCTGAAATCACTTCATCCCAATAAAACAAAGGTTTGAAGGACTCTCCGTTAGACCTGTCAATGATGTGGACAAGTCTCCTCGCGAAGGCACCATTCTGGGATGCCAAATGCTGCAAGAACTTTGGTATGTGAGTCACAGCTACATGGATCATCTGTCCATCTTTGTTTTCTCCCACTGGCAGTTTTACTGTGCAATCGTGTGGTAGTTCTTTGTGGACTTTGCGCTTGTAACCTGAGTAAGACTTGAGAATCACTTCTGGGCGAGCAATCTGCAAAATGCCATGCAACGCCTTCTCAGTGCAGCCTGGCACTTTCAAGCATTCGCGTAGCACAAGGTCATCTTCATGGCCATGGCTAGTTTTTCGAGACTTGGGCATGCAGGCTCACCTTTACAAGGAAAACATGCGATCGCATGAAGAAACATCTTGTGATGACTTCATGCAGGCCCAAACCTAAAAGGCATACATGCAGTTGCAATAAGATACATTTTTTGGTGAGGATTGAATTCCTTTTGAACAATTCGAAGTTTAGAACCCATGTCTGTGTGCCATGCCTTACTCTGAGCACATACCGGCTACCCCAACTGTGAACGTCAACAAGCTCCTGGTGAGCGCTGGGCTTGCAGAAGCTTTCGCACGATCGACATTTTCGTTCTGCGCGCAGGTTCAACGCTCATCCATGCAACTCAGACGTCGTCATATGACCTCATTATGACCTGGTTCGAATTATACAGAACCTGTCACTGCATGATTGCAAGGTAAAAAAGCCAGGCGGCGGCCTTCGAGGCCGCAACCACCAAGCGGCCACAAAGCCGCGGCCATTGAAGCCATTTCATGCGGCCCACAAAGCCGCGGCAACGCGAAGCTTGCTAAGTTGCGGCCCGCTAAGCCGCATCAAAAAGATGCCTTTATTTATTCTTCCTCTTCTTGGAAGAGGCTGACTTGGCATCCTGAACAAATTTCTTTGCTGCTTTGACCCTGACCATCATCTCTTGGCTGTCTTTGAACGGGAGAGCTTCCAATTTGGCCTCAGAATTCTTGGCATGCTTTTGCAAAGCTGCAGCCGCCGCCTTCTTCCAGTCAAGCAGGACATCGCGCTCTTGCACCAAATTCTCTTTCAAGAGGTCTGGCCAATTGTCATCTCCAAAAGCACAGGTCTGCTGCAGCTCCACGCACAGAGGCTGCAATTCCACCACAGCCTTGCCAGCCAAACTCACGATGGTTTTGTTCATCTTCAGCATCTCACGACGTTCTTTCTGGCTCTCTTTCTTGCGCTCCTGCTCTGCCTTGCGTGCAGCAGCCTTCTCCTCCTTCTTCCTTTGGGCTTCCAACTGTTTAGCTGTAAGTTCTTGTTCGGGTTCAGGGATCGGTTGCTCCGTGTCCGGCGCGTCTTCGTTGTCGCTCAACAGATCCACGATCATAGCGCCTGTAACATTGGCTGCCTCAGGCTGGTGGTCCACCTTACGCTTGCGGACACTTCGCTCTGCAGCAGCCACAGAGCTCTCAATCCTTTGTTTCACCTCTTTCTCTTGCAAAGACGTCACCGGGAGCATGTAGGTCTTTTCCTGCAAGATTGGATCCCACATCTGTGGCGCGTTCTCCTGGATCTGGTTCGTGTTGTATCCTTTCCTGGGCTGTGGCTTGATTGTTTTAATGTTGCAAAAGTCTCTTTATATACATCAAATTGTTTTATGTTTACTATATATACTATATAAATGAACTACTGCCATCCATGGAACACAAAACAGAAGAAACGAATGCCAAAGGCAGCCAAGCTGCTGCGCATACACTGACAACGGCAGATAAGTGCCTTTGCTGCTCTTGGCAAGCTCACTGGTCTTGACCATGGTAAGGCTATTGACCAGCACATCACGCAATCGATCATACCGAAGTCGTCCATCAGTGCTTTCTTCCCTCATGGCACGGCACTGTTGCATCCCTACCCCAACAAGTCACTGAGGCGGCAGGCCGCTGACAGTCAGTGCGGCCTGTGAAGCTGCAGGTCACATTGACGAAGAAGAGCTAAGCTGTCCTCATTTTGAAGGTGGTGGACCATGTCTTCGTTGCACCCAGCATGAGGTGGTGCAGCCAGAAACATTTCTGCACTTGCTGCAACCTGTAGGCTTCCACTTCTTCATTTCTTTCTGAGACGGCCATGGCCGGAGAAAAGGTTTCGACTTCGACTTTGCGTTTTTCTTCACCTTGGTCTTTGCCATCGCTTTCTGAACAGGCTTCGAAGAAGACATCACTTTCTTTGGGACGTTGCTTGCCTTGGCGCTCGCTGCTTTAGCTTTTGCTTTCGCAGTCGGGCCTTTAGCGGCTGGCCTCTTCATTGCGGCGCCTGACTTTGGAATGCCTCTCTTGTCAGTCTCACGCTTTTCCATTGCCTCATCCAAGCTCAAGAGCGCAGACTTCACACCCTTGTGCTTTTCAGGCCCTGGAACCACAGGATCGTGTTTTTCAGGCAGTGGAACCGCAGGATCGGTTTTGGACTTTACCTCCAATGGTGGTTGCAGCCGATCCTGCTCCATGGCACCAAGGTTGTCAGCTTTTGGTGCCTCTGGCATTGACACACCCGGGTTCTCAGGCTTCTCCAAGTTTTCCTGGCTTGAAGTTGAAAGCAAAGCAATAGGTTGAACAGTTTCAACCGCCGCAGGAGACGATGTTGCCGGTGGGCTTGGGGTAGACGCCCTGGAATGTCCATCCATGGGCTTAGTTGTCGTCAAATTCTCTGTCTTTGGCAAGGTTTCCGGTTCCATTGTCAAAGCAAGTGGAACTCTCGGAGTAGTAGGGCCAGTCATGGAACGCTCCTGGCCCTGTTGATGAGCCCACTGGTTCAAAGACCCCATACCTGGCATACACCCGGAAGACAGCTGCCCACAGCTCGACATCATGGCCTGAGCCATATATTGCATCAAATGAGTTGGCAGGAAGCCATGCTGCAATGACCCAGAAAAGGCTGCAGGACGCGGCGCTTCTTTGTGGGATTTTCGCAAAGGCATCGTCCTCGCCAAAAAGATAAGATTCTCCGTCTGAATCCTCAGCAGTGGCAATGAAACAGAAAACACAATGACGACATCAAAGGTCGATGCACACGTCTATGTGGGTTTAGGCTCCTGCTTACCATCAATAAGCGGTACGCGACTGAATGCATTTGCATGTCTGTAAGCCGTTAAATGTACATAGATTTCCTTTGAACAGATGCCAAGAACAGACAGGAAAATGAAACATCTACATTACCATACCAAGATTCCTCGGCGGAACTGGCTCCCCACAGTCACCGTACATTCTCCTCCGCAGATCTTCATGGAGCTCTCTGAAGTCACCTGGCAGAGAAACAAGGTAGGTGCCAATGATGCCCGGGTCTTGGCCTTTTGACATCTCTAAGATAGCCTTCACTTGTGTCTTGACCGTCGTGTGCAAGCTGAACCAGTCCTGTGTGGTTTGAAAGTTGCGCTCATTCTCAGGCATTCTCAAAACCAACATGGCCGTGAGTGTCCCATAGACCGTTTCTGAGGGACATCGCAGGCCAAGATTGAATAAGAACTGCACGACTTGCTTCAGAACCAGAGATGTGTTGGTTCCTTTCAAAATCACTTCCCAAAGGTCTGCCGTCAAGAAGCACGCCCAAGTCAACCACTCTTGCATGGGGCGTTTCCCCTTCGGATCCAAAGGAGCACCTTTCATTTTTTCACGCAGGGCATCTAAGATTGCTTTCACATCCTTCCCCTCAATCACACCCTCGGCTGACTTCACTGTAGATGCCAAAGCCGTTGCTTGCTCCAAGGACATTTTGGGAAGTGCTGAGATTTTCTCACGAAGGGATCGCACATGGGCTTCGATGAGCACTGGTTCTGCCGATGAGGCGCGCAGAAACTCGATCAATGCCTTCATCTGAGTCTCCACACCATCAGCCATGGCGCTGCGCGGACACTATAAGGCGGTCCACAAAACCGCCCGCAGCCTATCGCAAAGAAAAGCCAAACCTGGCAAGACATTACAAAGGCTCAGAGTGCTGCATCTAAAGTTCCAAAGTTCAGCAAAGAAATATTCATTTGTATAAAATGTTTCGCTGATGACATATATATATATAGAACGCAGACAACGCACACCCAGTTCTGGAAAAGACCAGAACTGGCAACGCGCAAAAAATCCTATTTAGCCAGTGTCGGATTTTAATAGCCGACGCTGGAAGTAATACGCACAACACACACCCAGTTCTGGAAAAGACCAGAACTGGCAACACACACTGGAAGTTGAGCCCAACGATTCCTAAAGAAAAAGAAGATGAGCTGACGACAACTATAGGCGGCCCACAGAACGGCCCTGAAAGCCTCTACAAACCGTGCCCCAGCTATACCAAACAGCGGAAAAAAGAAAACGAACACTTGCAAACTCTTTTTCACTCGCAAAAATCAACATCCTGCAAGCGGCCCACCAAGCCGCTCAAACATGGATTAACCCACTACTTCTCGGCAGGCTCCGACGTAAACAACAAAACCTCTTCACACTGGTCATACTCATTCCAAACGTGCATGGCCACAACATTATCTTTCTGCACGTGCAGCTGATCCTTCACCTGAAAATAGTAGCTCTCGTATGCAATTATCCAAGTGCTCTGCTCATGCCGTGGCGCGATAAGAAGGTCCCGAGCTTTTTGAATTGGTTGGAATGCATCATCTGTGTCAGACCACTGCAGGCCTGGAAGCACATCTTGAACAAATTATAAGTTGAACGCCTGCCCCTATTTCGCGAGCTGCCGCAGAGTCAGAGTCATGGCCATACATACAAATGATCTGCTGAACAAAGAACACTGCAGAGAGTCATGAACAAAGACTATTGCGAAGAGAATGAAAAACAACTCAACACCCATTCGCAAACTGAAGAAGCATGTTTCATTCTTTTTACAGAAACTCCGCACGCACTTGACGAATTGCACCAGCAACTTCTCCTTCTCATTTTGCGACTGTAAAAGCTAAGTTCCGCTAAGTTCTGCTAAGTTCTCAGGTTCGCCGGTTTGAAAAAACAGACCAAACATTTAGGAACACTTATCCAAACATACTAAGCCTGCTAACCACTGTAGGTTGACTTACAAAAACTTAAGAACTTACGTCAACATGTCGAAGTTAATATCAATTTAAAGCTATAATAAAACTAAATTTAACCAATGTTATTAACTTGCCCTATATTGGGTAAGTAGAAACGGCCCTCGTTGTGAAGAAGCGTGAATCGTCGGCTTTGTCTGTAGATGACCGTCGGTTTGTCCCCGGTCAGTTCACGTTGCTACGTGAAAGAAAGGCTGTCGAGATTCTCGGCGCCGCATTGGAACGTGCTGAGCACGAGCTGCAAGCACACATTCTAGAACCTGTCTCTGGCGT